GGCTGGACCCTCAAGCTGAAGCATAAAGGAGGAACCACTAAAGGGTCCCAGTGTCCTGGGAGAGGCGGCTGATCCCAGGTCTGGGCCTGGACCCCGCGTTGTGTCAGAGGGCAGGAAGCTTCTCCTGGAGCAGTGGGGACAGGCCAGGGGCACGAGCTGCCCGCAGAGCTTCTCTGGCTGAACAGGGAATTCACACGTCAACGGAAGTGACGGCGGAAACAGAGCTGATGTTCAGTCGCTAAGTCCTGGTCAGCTCCGACCCCGTGGACCGCAGCACGCCAGGCCTCCCTGTCCGTCACCAACTCCCGGAGTTTACTCAAACTCATGTCCATCGAATCAGTGATGCCATCCAACCATCTCATCCCCTGCTGTCCCCTTCTCCTCCCGTCTTCAATGTTTCCCAGCATTAGGGTCTTTTCAAACGAGCCGGCTCTTTGCCTCAGGTGGCCAAAGTATTGGAGCTTCAGCCTCAGCATCAGTCCTTCCAATGAATATTCAGGACTGATCTCCTTTAGGATGGACTGGTTGGATCTCCCTGCAGTCCAAGGGACTCTCAAGGGTCTTCTCCAACACCACAGTTTGAAAACATCAGTTCTTCGATGCTCAGCCTCCTTTACGGTCCAGCTCTCACATCTGCACACGACCACTGGAAAAACCACAGCTCTACCTACGGGGACTATACAGTGGCAGAGCATAGCCCTTTAAACAATCGCACCATGAGTTCATGTGGATATGAGTGAAGGAATGAATATATAAATGGGAAGTTAAATGAGGACACTTACCTAAATTCAGAGTACTTGTACACAAAATACTAAGAAGGAGAAGAGAGGAACATGAAATGGACATGCCTGGGAGGTGTCATCCTAAGTGGTTAATGATAACAGACAACAGCCACGGGGCTGCTCAAAGGAGAGGTGGTGGGATGAGACCCGGCCTCCGCTCCACGCAGCCTGAATGTGGTCGTGAGGACTCACCAGATGAACACAGAGGCAGACTCCTCAGTAGCTGGCTGTCATCCTCAAGAGAGCCTCGCTTACGGTCCCCAGGGAGTCCGAGGAGGCTCCAGGCTGAAGGAGACGAGCCGAGCCGGGTCCTGCTGTCTCCGCTCCTCCCTGCCCTGCTCGCCTGGCCCTGGGCAGGCAGGGCCAGCTCCGCTCTTAAACGCACGCCCTGCCTCGGCCCGGCTGGCGCCGACACAGGGGCCCGCGTCTCTAACGGGCTCCCCAGCAGAGCACACGGGGCACCCAGGGTCCTAGACGGCGAGTTCGCAGTGGCCCCGTCTGCTCACAGGTCCTCTGACGGTCCTGAGGCCTGAAGCCCAGCACACGCCTCGCTGGTCCGAAGCACCGGCATCTCGGGGCGGGCGGGCCCTCCTGCTTCCGGCTTCCGGCTTCCAGCTTCCAGAAACACCGCGCCCGCTGGTTCACGGCCGCTCCACCTCGCATCGCACGACCCACTGCTCCTCCTCGAGGGGGCGTCGCCATCTGACCCCGCCCGGAGAGCACCCCCCCCACCACCTCCGGACCCGCGTGGATACTCAGGACCACCTCCCGACCTCACGGCCCCTAACCGTCACCCCGTCCTCGAAGTGGGCCCCTTGTTACCCACCTTGGGCTCGGTTGTGGGCGTCTGGGGCCGTGTCCCTGCCTCTTCCCCGGCCTGCCTCCCCACTGGGGACGGTGTTTCCCTCAGGATTTAGCAGCTGCACCACCGCCTCCGTGTCCCCGGGCGCCACCTCCCGCCCCAGCATCCCCGGGTGGCCTCTGGGTTTTCCTGCATCTCACCCAGAGCCTGGCACGTGCGGACGCTTCCTGGAAACCAAATCCTTCATTCAACAGCAAGGACTGATTTCCGTGCTGCCCTCAGACAGGATGAAAAACACTCCGCCTGGGCTGCTGGATCAGACGAGGCTCCCCGCCCCAGCCCGGCATCTCCGCGGCCTTGCCTGCTGCCACTGTGATGCCCCAGACACCCCGGGCCAGCAGGCCCATGCTGGGCGTCCGAGCCTCAGCGGCTCACTCTAGCCCCTGTCCATGTTCAGACGCATCTGTGACCTGGGGACACGACGCCTGCCCAGGGCACCAGCCGGGCTCCAGAAAGAAGAGGCCCAACGGCCAGGTGGCTCAGCGGGTAACGAATCCGCCTGGATTGCAGGAGACCTGGGTTTAATCCTTGGGTCGGGAAGATCCCCTGGAGAAGGAAATGGCAGCCCACTCCAGTATTAGGGCTCCCCTGGGGGCTCAGATGGTAAAGAATCTGCCTGCAATGCAGGAGACCTGGGTTTGAGCCTTGGGTCGGGAAGATCCCCTGGAGAAGGAAATGGCAGGCCACTCCAGTGTTCTAGCCTGGAGAATTCCATGGACAGAGGAGCCTGGTGGGCTACAGTCCATGGGGCTGCAGAGAGTCAGGCACGACTGAGCAGTAACACTTTCACGTTCACACTTTCAGCACGTGGAGGGGGGCACAAAGCCTTCTGCACTCAGAATGACCTTTATCCTAAGTGTGTGCATGCGCTAAGTCACTTCAGTTGTGTCTGACTCTGTGACCCCCATGGACTGCAGTCCACAAGGCTCCTCTGCCCATGGGATTCTCCAGGCGAGAATCCTGGAGTGGGGTGCCGTCCCCTCCTCCTCCACGGCATGTTTCCAACCCAGGGATCGAACCTGCGTCCCTTGTGTCTCCTGCATTGGGAGGCGGGTTCTTTACCCCTAGCAGCAGACCCCCCACTTAATTCCTAAGGCCATGCTATGGACACGAGAGATGAGGATTCATTTTTAAAACCCACTTTCTTGCAACCTAGAAACAAGCTCAAGAAAAGCCAGACTGAAAATCATCATGGGTGGGAAGAGAGAGTTTTGGCCAAAGAAAACGCTCTGACTTGAATTCTCTTCTTTCTGGAGAATCAACAGCAGCCTCTGTGTGGATTGGACCCGGAAAGCTGCTGCGTGCTGGCGGGTGGCACGGCCACGCCTGTGTGCCTGTGGAGAACCGGGCGCAGGCTGACTGCGTCGGGCGCTTACAGACGCTGGAGCCAAATTAGGACTTATCAGCACGTTCATTATCTAAAAATAAACTAGCTTTTCTTTGCTTCATCAAAAAATCAGATTACAGAGTACGCCGCCTTACTTGCAGAATAAAGTGTTTTTATTCTTAGACAAGTGAGGACAATGAGAACTGTTACATAACCTGTCAGCGTGTGGATGGGCCGGTTATGGAAGCAGATTGTTCCCCGTGATGAGGGCGATCTGGTTTCCCCGCTGCAGAGGGTCAGTGGATGGCCACGGAGAACACACAGTCCCGAGATTCAGGATGCAAAATGAGGCGCATCTCTTGTCAGCCTTCTAGACCGGTGGCTCTCTGCAGGATGGCCGCTTTCCCTCAGACACCCCGAGACCAGGGCTGGTACCCCCTCCACCCAATCTGCAGCCAAGGCCCCACATTCCATGCATTCACAGTGCGGGCCTGACCCCCAACCCCAGGCGGGCGTCCTGCTGACCCCAGTGGGGAGCAGAGCTGAGCCCACTGCCCACCCAAGGAGGTCGCTGCGGTGAGGAAGGGGTGGCCACACAGCACGGCCTGAGGGACCACCGTCCCCTCCAACGCCGGCCATCCGCCCAGGGTCCCTGGAGCAGCCGCGCTCCAGGCCGGCTGACTGCACCCTCGGGGCCCACAGTCCGCTAGAACAAGTCACAGAGCTCAGGGCAGTGCGGTTCCTACGATCACAGGTTCATGAAAACAAACGGATGCGTCTCTTCCTTTTCAGCTGAGGTAGGCACACGAGACGGGGTAGGAGCATCCACGCATCCATGGCAGTGCAGCCCTGTGCTCCGGCCACGTCACCCCCGCCCCGCCGATGGGGTCCCTGCCCGGGGTGCCGGGCTCAGCCGCAGTCTGCCAGTGTGTGCGGTGGCTTCGTGGCAGGCGTGGCTGAGTCGCAGCCCCATCTCCAGCGCTCTGTCCCCCCGGGGTCAGGCCGGCCTCTCTGCGGCCAGTCCCCCACCCGACTCACTGTGTGGGTGTGACCTGGCCCCCGCCCCGTCACAAGACACGCCTGTACTTGGGACACTCCACGGCTCAGCAGGGACCTCCCAGGCACCTGGTCTCTCTCTGGGCTGGCCAAGCTCTGTGCTGCCCGGGTGGGTCCTGGTCAGATTCCCCAGAGGAACAGAATCAGCCGGAGACCGACCAACTGACCAACTCACAGGAACTGGGGGCCGACACATCCCGAGACGGCAGGCAGCCCTGGCCCAGCAGACTCTGTGCTGCCCACCCGAGGCTGCGTCTGTCAGGCCCGAGACCAGGGTCAGTGCCGCCCACCCTAGGCTGCGTCCGTCAGGCCCGAGACCAGGGGTGGAGCCATCTCAGCTCAACTCTGAAGCAGGAAAAAGACAATTCCTCGGATCAAAGGTGGTCAGGGCAGGCATGAGGAATTCCCTTGATGGGAGGGTCAGCCTATTCCTTCTTCCTTCTGTTCAGGATGGACTGCAAAGGCCAGCCCAGGGAAAGAATCTGCTGGAGACCGGGGTCATATCCCTGAATAGGGAAGATCCCCTGGAGAAGGGAATGGCACCACTCCAGTATTCTGGCCGGGAGAATCCCATGGACAGAGGAGCAGTCTGCAGGACTGCAAAGGGTCGGACATGACTGAGAGACACGTTCACCCTCACCCTCACTAGGGAGGGACTGTGGTCCCCTCAGCAACACCCCCCACCCAGCAACCTCGTCCTGAAACATCCAGAATAACATATGACCGCCTCCCGACACCCAGCGGCCCCTCAAGCTGACACGTAAAGTGGGCCGGGCCTGACCTCCCCGCGGTCTGAGTGACCCCCATCCCGAGCCTGCAGCCCACCCTGGGTGGGGTGAGCCGCACCGGGGGCTGCCTGGTCCGGGTCGGAACAAGCCGAGCGTCGAGAATGCAAGCTCCTGGGGCCCGGTCTCAGCTCAGGGGCTGCTCCCTCCTGAGGCAGGAAAACAAGCTTCGGGGACCCAACACGGAGCACAAGCATTTCAAAATACCTTTATTTCCTCTCACCGGGTGGTCACTCCACAAAATACTTTGACGGCCGCTCCCCGGCCGCCCCACCGCGGTCAGACTTTTCCTCCCATCGTCACCCAGCCTCTGCCTCGCGCCTCAGTCGTCTGTTTCCTCCTCCTCTGTCACTAACAGACTCGCTGGATTCAAGATAAAACAGAGAGAAGTGGGTTTTGAGCGGGACTCTCGGCCCCCCCGGGGGAGGCCCCCCAGGGCCTGTGGATGCAGCTGCAGGGACGCGGTCCACTCAGAAGCGCGCTTGGCAGCTGGGTCTCTGCCCCCCGCCCGCACCGGGGTCTGTCCGCTGAGTCCTGGGGCCGTGTGCAGGTCCCAGAGGACAGCCAGGCAGGCCACTCACTGCCCCTGGGGATGGTGAGAGCCTGACGCAGGCCCAGGACAGCTGGTCGCCGTGGCCGCACCTCCTCGAACCTGCTGGGGGCTCCGGCCAAAGCCACCCGCCTGCGAGGACAAGGGGCTTCCTGGGAGCCAGCGTGGGTGGGACACATCCCGGGCAGCGGGCGCTGCAGGAGGTGGCGACGCTCTGAGCCCACCGGCTTCCAGCCAGTGCCCAAGGGAGCTCAGCCCACCGCCCTGTGCCCCCCACCTACCACCTGCCCAGACCTGGGGCTGGGGGCACAGGCGGGGGCAGGAAAGGGAGGAATGCTGTGGACGGAAGCCATGCCAACGTGCCATGGGCAGAGCCCACTTTGGAAGCCCACCCTCTGGGTCGGAGAACACAGACGGCGCTTCTATGCAGACTGGCAGGCTGGCACCGCACGCGGGGGCCGGGGTGCAGGCTGAGGGTCTCTAGCAGAGCCGCTCTCGGCAGCAGTGGAGCCGGCGGGCCCGCCACCTTACCCTCCTCCCCGCCGCTCTCCTGGGGCTGCGGGGCCTCCACGCTCGGGGCCTGCGAGCCCGCCCCCACGCTGCTGGGCAGCTGCGTCTCCACCCGGACGCTGGACTTGGCTGACGGAGGCGCCTCCGTGGGGCGTTTCTTTCCTTTCCTGCTCTCCTGGACGACTCTGATGGGCAGAGAGAGAAGGATGGGGACCCCGGGGCCGCCCGGCTTTCCACCAGGATGCACCCGCAGCATCACAGTGTTCACAACCCTGCCGGCGGGTTTGAAGGAGAAACGCTCTGTCATCTCAGCTTTGTGGAGCTCCAGACTCAGTGGGCACATGGCATCCGGGCTCCCACACACACCAGGGAGCGGGCCGCATGTGCATGGCCCACGGTCACAGCCAGGCCGTGCCACAGAGGTGCCACCCAGCTCCACTCGGAGGAGGAACAGGCTTTTTCCTCAACATTGGACAGAGTGGTTCAAGCAGCCTCACCGGCTTCCGTTCACAGGACAGGGGCTTGGGCCCCGAGTGCAGGCTGCAGACTGGCGCTGCCTGTGCACCACAGGCAGCTGCGGGGCCTGGCGGCCGTGTCCTGACCACTAACACGCACCCGGATTCGGGCCTGAGCACACGACCGCCGCAGGCCGAGGGATAAGCCACCGGGTGGGGCCTGGCGGCCTGCAGACTGGCGCCCGCTGGCCATGAGGCTGAGACGCCAGGAGCCAGGCTGGCATCGGCCCCGAGGGTTCTGGGCAGGAACGCGCGCACCCTGGCCGGCTCGTGCCCACAGACGGCCCTCCTCGTCGCCTACGCTGCAGTGAGGCGGGGGGCCACCCGCTCACAGCACCCTGCTCCTGTCCCCTCGGGCCCACAGTGAGGTTCAGGGAAGGAAAGCGCTGACCTGTAAATGATGGTGATGACAAAGGCTCCGGCGATGATCACGATCAGAGCAGAGAATACCTGCACGTAAGCTGGAAAACAGTTCCTGGGCGTCACTGCAGGCCAGCGTCTCCCCAGAGCCACCTGCCTCCCCGGGGTGCCCACAGCCCCCGCCCACCTGCCCTCCACACCCCCCAGCCTGGCTCAGCCCCAGGCTCCGGCCTCTGCACCTTCCTCCCCCAGAAACGCAGCCATGGACCTGAGTGGGCGCTCCCGAGGACCGTCCCTGAGGACAGTGATGGGGAGGGCCGTCCATCTATCCAGACACTCTGTCCATCTGTCCCAGAGTCAGCAGCACCCAGCCTCCTGGGACCTGGGCCGCCCTCTGCCCTGGCCTCCCTGGAAATGGTCCCTCAATACACAGGTCAGTTGTCCCAAGACATTAGGAAGCGCTTTCAGGTGACAAATTCCACAGGTCTAACTGCAACTTTCGTGAACCGAGCACTCCTTTATTCGCAAGGGGTGGCCGCTGCGCCCGGCAGATCCCACCTTCTCTGGACGAGCCCCCAAAGGAAGGCCCGGCATCTCTCAAGGCGACTCAGGGCAGCCACACCCCCCCGAGTGTCCCGGTGCGGGAGCACCCCTCAAGGGTGTGAATTCTCAGCCCTTCCCCACTCCTGGGAAGGAGGGGGGGGGAGTTGGGCGACCCCCAGGCCTTCTGGGGGAGGTCCTCCACCTCGGGGGACCTCGCGATGCCCGGGCTCACACGCGGGGCCAGGGGGCCAGCCTTCCCTACGGACTGACGCTGGGCCTCCGTCTGCCAGCCGGCTCGAGACTCTGGCGACTGAAGGGCAGGACTTGCGTCCCCCGGGCCCAGGAGCTCTGCGTGGGCACCGCTCCATGGAGGCACCCGGACCACCCCCCCGGTTCTGTCCCCGCGCTCTTGTGAGGCTCAGGCCAGGATGTAAAGCAGCGAGGCGGGCCGGCAGGCCTGCATGGAGCCCCACGCGAGGCGCTCGAGCCCTGAGCCCGGCTGGCCCATCTGCGAGCTCAGCGGGCCTCTGCGCCGACTGTCTTTCCCGCTTTCTCCAAGCGACGGAGCAGCCGGCTGGCGAACGCTGACCCGACTTGTGACGTGACCTCTTCAGTCCCCTTGCTTCCTCCTCCCTCCGAGCTGTCTGCCCCTGACCCAGGGGCATCGTCAGGCGTCCTCACTGGTGGGTCCCTGGGGCCACGGGGTCCCGGATGTGGGGCTCGAGTCAGGAAACGGAAGGGAGTGACGCCACACAGCTCGGCGAGCAGGGGCTGAGTATCCGGCCGGCTCTCAGGAGCGCGTTCACAGGCAGGGGGCGGATGCGGTGCTCGGGGGCAGCCGCAGCCCTGGCTCAGAGCTTCTTGCAGGAGGCGTGTCCTGCAGCTGGCTTCTTTCTGTCCCCGACGCCTTGGCCGTGGAAAGGCGTAGACCTGGGCTCACCTCCTCGCCTCCAGGACTGTGGTAACCTGCTCCAGTGTTTCTCACCCCCTGGTATGAACGCAGCGGTGTGGACGCTCCCGCGGTGACCTCTGAACCGGGCACTGCAGGGGGACGCGACCTCCAAGGTCAGGGTCACCGCGGCTGCGCCCTGTTCGTGCTCCAGCCGCTGGCCCCGGGGAAGAGCGTCTCACAGCTGTGAGCCGACCTGTGACATGAAGCAGACGTCTACGGGCACGTAGGGCTGACCCGCAGCGAAGTGGGAGCCTCGAAGCAGCCCGTCCGGCCCCGGGCTGGCCGCAGACGACCACCGCCTCCCGTAGTCTTGACTGCTGTCTCATGAGCCACCTGAGACCAAACCACGCAGCCAAGCCTCCAAGTTGCTGCTTAAAGCCAGTAAGCCTGGGAAACCTATCACCTGGTGAGCAGTTAACTAACACAGGGCAGCTCCCACCTCGGTGCAGTCAGCGCGCTTTAAACAGTGTTGAATGAATGGAGTGGAAACCAACTCTGAGAGTGCACTGGGCGACCAGAGGAAGCCCCCCGTGGCTCAGACGGTAGACACCTCTGCCGTGCGGGAGACCAGATTCAGCCCCTGGGTCAGAAAGATCCCTGGAGGAAGGCATGGCGACCCACTCCAGTGTCCTTGCCGGAGAGTCCCGTGGACGGAGCGGCCTGGCGGGCTGCAGCCCGTGAGGCCACAGACGCGTCGGACGCGACCTCGAGGCTGAGCCACCGTCGCCCAGGTAGCAGCGGGCAGCCCGCACATCCCTGCATTCCAAGCAGCGGCTATTCCTTGCTGGGATTTGCGTCCCATCTCATGAAAGAAATTCAGAATCTATCTGTGCCCTGGTTTATGAAAGAAATTCAGAATCTAAATGTAAGTGGATCCCCGTTAGACACACAGACTGAGTCAGTGATTTAGTTTTCAGTTGTCGGTTATAGCTTCTATAACTTGACGTGCGCAAGTGCTTTTCTTTCTTGAGGTCGAGCTCCTGAAGGCAGAGACTGAATCTCAGCAATTCTCTGCACAATCTCTAGCCAGCATCTATTAGTGGCAAGCAATATGTACAATTTATCATATAACACAAATTATGACTGATCACTCAGAAACAGCAGCAATTGAAAGAATATCTTGGCAAAGCCTCCCCCAGATAGTTAAACAAAAGTTTTGAAATTGTCTCAGCAAGTCCCACAAAGAAACTGAAGTCAAACACTTAGGGGAAAAAAATGACAGGTTAAATAGTGTACCCTAAACTCAAGACTGAAGACTGAAAGCAAGTCATTCTCTCTGAATTCCCATTTCTTCTCAAAGATCTAATGCTAATTCCCCAAGTTCATGTTCTTAATAATACAGATTATGCCATAACACAAAGTGCACTTCAAACCAGCCAATTTAAGAAGTTGGTGAAAGGTTTTCATAACATGGAATTATGAGCACAAAGAACTCATAATACGCTGTCACGGAACACTACAACTTACAGCACAAAGCTTTGCGCGCCGTCTTGAATGAGAAAATGTCAAAGAAACGAAAAATACCGAGGGCTCAGTGAGAGTCCAGTGCAGGGCTCACTGCCCAGACTCTGCCCACGGACAAGCCACGCTTGCAAACGCGAGAGAAGTCGGAAGAAAAGGCCCAGCCCACACAACTCATGTGTTATAACTGAAAGGATGGAAAAAGGCTCAATCCTCGCCTCCAGGCAAAGACGACATGCCCACTTGTAGAACAATGAGCCCTCTTCACGGACAGAAAATCCCTGGGTTTGTGTTCTTTTCTAGGTTCCTTGGGGACACTAATAGTTTAGGTGCTAAAAAGAATAAGGCTTATTTTTCAAATAAGTGATAGGCATAAGGTGATGGTACTAATTCACATGATGTCTGAAACACACACATTTACAAATGGCCAGCTCCCACCATGGAACCCTGATGAGAGGATGCTCGGGACGGAACAGACGAAAGAAGAAAAAGCATCAGCTTGAGCTTCTGTTCTCTCACTGGCTACATTCTCCCTCGCGTGGTCCATGTCACTGCTTTATGCTCTGTGGGCTCCATTTCATTAGGATGTGAGCAAACAGGGATAATTAACAGCCAAAACCATGACCTGATTGATGCTGGGAAAGATTGAAGGCGGGAGGAGAAGGGTACAGCAGAGATTGAGATGGTTGGCTGGCATCACCAACTCAACAGACATGAGTTTGAGCAAGCTCTGGGAGTTGGTGAAGGACAAGGAAGCCTGGCGTGCTGCAGTCCATGGGGTCGCAAAGAGTCAGACAGGACTGAGTGGCTGAAAAACAACGGAGTGACTTGTCCTGTGACTTCACCTGGGAATTTAACGTCTTTTGCATCTTTGTATGTGGAAGATTGAAGAGCAAACCCACTACCCTTTGGATGTTAAAGTTTCCTGCTTTTAGGAGTTTCCCACAATAAATGTCTCAGAAAAACTAAGCTGCATATGTGCTTAGGACACCAAAGTCTTCTAGGTAGAAAAACTCCATGATGGAGATGAAGTGAACTAGACTGGCTGCTCTCTAAATAGTGAGATGTGTCCAACCATTAAAACTGCAAAATGAAAACAAAAGGATGAAAAATGCAAAAAGCAGCAAATTACAGTCGGCTGGAAACAGAGGCGATTGTTGAAATCACAACAGCTGAAGGGGCCAAGAGCAGCTCGGGGCAAACAACAGGCTGATAAGAGAGCTTCTCGGGAAACCCTGGGGAGTGACCATCTCCAGGGAGACATGGAGAGCCGTGACACAGCCCGTGGAAGGCAGAAAGCCTGGGGAGTGATCGTAACCAGGGAGACGTGGAGACGGTGACACAGCCCGTGGAAGGCAGAAAGCCGGGGGAGTGACCGTCTCCAGGGAGACGTGGAGAGCCGTGACACAGCCCGTGGAAGGCAGAAAGCCTGGGGAGTGACCGTCACCAGGGAGACGTGGAGAGCCGTGACACAGCCCGTGGAAGGCAGAAAGCCTGGGGAGTGACCGTCACCAGGGAGACGTGGAGACGGTGACACAGCCCATGGAAGGCAGAAAGCCTGGGGAGTGACCGTCTCCAGGGAGACATAGAGAGCCGTGACACAGCCCATGGAAAGCAGAAAGCCTGGATAGTGACTGTCACCAGGGAGACGTGGAGACGGTGACACAGCCCGTGGAAGGCATGGGGCATCCCTAGGAGGACAGAGGCGGTCCCGGGCTCACCCTGCTGGCTGACCTTCAGGTTCTGTGAAAGCAGGAAGCAGAGACTAAGGCAGAGCTGGGGACCCCCTGGCTGACGCTGGGTCCCAGCCCACACACAGGGCCCTTGGCAGAGACCGGGAGATGATTATTTCTGGGCGTCTATGGAGGTGTCTGTCCAGACACTAGCTGACCGCAAGGCTGACCAAGCAGAGCCTTCAGTGAGCACACACTGTGAAGAAAAGACGCTACAGAGTCCACTCAGGAGAGTCATCGCTAGACACCTAACCCTAGCCCAGCCACAGCGAGAGGTTCAGCGGACAGGAGAACCTGGTTTTCAGGGCTGCCACATCACATAGTTTAAATGTCTGGTTTTCAACAACAAAAAAGATGTGACGCGCGCAAAGAAACAAGAAAATCTGGCCATGTAGATGATATGTGAAAGGCCATCAATAGAAATGGGCCCTCAGGAAGCCCCGATATTAGACTGACTGGGCAGAGACTTTATTGTAAACAGGTTCAGAGAACTAAAGGGAGCGATATCTGATGAACACAGTATGAGAACGATATCTCACCAATAAAAAGACAGAAATTATTTAATTAAAAAAAGAACCAAATAGAAATTCTGAAGTTGAAAGTATAATCCTGGAAATGAAAGCCTCGCCAGAGGAGCAAACTGGTCAATTTGAGCCACAAAAGAAAAGGATCGGCAAAGCCAAAGCCACCGAGAGCGTGCCGCCCGAGTGTCAGAGAGAGACGGCGTCAGGAAACAGTAAGCGCAGGGAGCGGGGGGCGCCACTGCTGCGATCAGCCGCCCAGCCGTGCCCAACTCCGTGCGACCCCACGGACGGCAGCACGCCAGGCCTCCCGTCCGTCACCAACTCCCGGAGCTTACTCAAGCTCATTCACGTCCACCACGTCGGTGATGCCATCCAACCATCTCAGCCTCTGTCGTCCCCTTCTCCTCCCGCCTTCAATCTTTCCCAGCATCAGGGTCTTTTCCAGTGGAGTGTCCCAAATGTACAGCCTCTTTTCTGCCTCTTTTTGAGCCAAACTGACTCCTCTTTTGCCCTAAATACCAAATCTTCACCCCACGGGAAGGAACTGCTCCCCATTTGGCTGAATCCGGATCTCGCTGATGCTTTAGCTTCTTGAACTATTTTGCCCAGAACATCACATTCTTGAAGGCACTGGAGTGACGTTTTGAGTGGGATCGGCTGCCCCCTGGGGCAGTGTGTCTGATTTCCCAGCTCCAGGAGCGAGAAGGCAGGTCTTGGGGGTGGGGGGCTGAGACCCCTGGGGCCACAGAGGAGACCTGGCGGGCCACAGCACACAGCATGCCCCCTGGGGGGTGAGGGTGGGGTGGGGGCAGGGCCGGGGGCCTGGGACACATTTCCCAAAGCATCCGAACTGTTGAGTGTCCGCGGCCAGTGCCAGGGACTCTTTCCTGCATCCAGTGAGGCCTCCTGCAGACTGCCCGTTCCCGAGACCATGCGCCCCTCCCCAACGTCCTCAAGCCCTCTCCCCGATTTCTAAAAGGGAGGCATATGGGCCAGGAAAATGCACCTACGACCAAGTGGAGCTTGAGGGCTTGGAGACACTAATCCAGATGAGCCCAGAGGCAGGAAATCCAGGAAGCACTGTGGGAGCGGCCCTTGTGGACCAGGCGCTGTGGCTCGCCTCTTCCTCCGCACCCCCACCCCGCGTCAGGCCGCCCCCGGGGTTCTGCTTCCCTGGGTGCCCCCGTGCTGCCTGACCTGGGGGTGTGGCACTCCGCGGCTCGGGCCCCCGCCCTCCCGGGTGTCCCTGCCAGTCCTACCCCGACCCCAGGTTTGTCCCCAGGCTCAGGATGGGAAGCAGAACTCAGGGAGGGCCAGGTTGACATCTCATTCGGACCCCTGACGGCGGCCCCTCTGGGGCCGGGGCATCCTTGCGCATGGTGCAAGGGCTCCAGCCCAAGCCGGCTCTTTCTGCGGACCTAGCAGCCCCAGCTCCGCCTTCTATGCCCCTAGGACGGACGGAGCTCAGAGAAGCCTCTCCAATAGCGCGCAGGGCCGCTGGGCAGTGAACGTCCCCCGGCAGCGGAAGGCCCACAGCCAGCCCCTCCAAGCCCTCTTTCCCGGGCCAGCCCGAGCAGGGCGACGTGGCAGAGGACGTGGAAGGAGGCCCATCCAACAAGGGGGCCCCGGGTGGGGGGGCCGTCCCCGGCCCGGCCGCCCGGCTGCGTACTCACTGGGCACGGCCTTCTCGTAGCAGACGCCTTTATAGAAGCAGCAGCCGAGCTCCTTGCAGCGATCCCGGCTGACGTTGTAGTCGCATATGTCATACAGCGGGATGTCGCACACTGCAAGGTGACACACGGAGGGCGTCACCCCGCGGCCAAGGCCCCGCCAACTCGAAGCGTGACTAGGTGCGTCGCACAGACCTCACTCTGAGGTCTGTGGAAAGAATGAGATTTCCGAACGAATTAGTGTCCCATTAATTACACAGGATAACGCAGGGTCCTCCGGTGACCAAGGGACTAACGCATCTCGGCAAGAGCTGGCCAGGCTCCGCGCTTCACAGAGAGACCGGGAAACGAAGGTCTGACACCGTGGGCGCCCGGGAGCTGGGGCAGGAAGTGTTACCAAGCCACGTTTAAGCGCAGGGTGCGTGAAAACCATGATGCCGTGGGTCATTTCAGAATTCAGAAGTCCTGAGGACAGCTCAGGGCCCGGGCCTGTGGCCTGCACGGGTGGGCGGGGTCCTCAGGGGCCAAGCCGCCCTGCTGGTCCCCTCCCCGCCCTCTGCCTGTCTGGCTCCTGCAGTCGGGAGGCCTGCCTCCTGGTTCCCAGAGGTGAAACACAGGCTTAGAATGAGTCCAGAACATGACGTGTGCCTCGGATGTAAGAGCCACTCATGTCCTGCAGGCCTGTGCCAGGGCTCCCCAGAAAGACTCTGGGGGGCAGGCTCCCCAGAGAGACAGGGGAGGGCAGGCTCCCCAGAAAGATCCGGGGTGGGGGCAGGGTCCCCAGACAGAAGGTGGGGGTCAGGTTCCCCAGACAGATGGGGGGCGGGGGGAGGGCGAGGGTCAGCCTCCCCAGACAGACCCGGGTTGGGGGGCCGGCTCCCCAGACAGACTTGGGGGGACAGGATCCCCGGACAGCCTAGTGCAGGAGGGTATCAGGGTACCCGGGTCCCAGGCAGAGAGCCTCCTGCGGGGAGAAGCCCGCTCGGGACATCCCTGGGAAACCACCTGTCAGCCATCTTAGGGGTCTCCTTTATGCCCAGTCTCCACGGCGGTGAAGTGTGGGCTCGGGGATGGGGCCCCGGGGCCTTCCTGTCTCGGGAGCCTCTCTGGCCCTACCTGGGCCCGCGGCCCCGCCCTCCGGCTCAGGAGCGCCCCGCCCTCCCCGCGCTGAGCCCGGCGTCCCGGGTCCCTGGGCACGCTGGGGCGAGTCCTCCGAGGGGCTCCTGGACGGGCCACTCGATGGAGAGAGAGGAGGGAGGCGCGGGCAGGGCTGCAAAGACCGGGCCCGCAGGGCCCCTCGCCGTCCGCGTGCCCCCGTCGTCGGGGACGCCCGCCGCCCCTGCGGCCTGGCCAGTCACCTGCAAACTTCTTCAGGAGGTGCGAGGGGGACTTCTTGAACTCAGGCGCGTATCTCATCGTAGCAGCTCAAGGAGGACCGCGGGGTCACGGGGACCTGGGGAGAGAGCGGGTCAGCGCGGCGCCCCCGGCGTGGCCGGCGCGGGGGCGGGACGGCCGAGCCGCGGCCACGCGCCTCACGTGCACAACAGCGCTCGGACCAAGCGAGGGACCGGCCAGCGCGCCACCCGCCACGGCTCCGGTCAGGCCAGGCCCGCCCACCGGCTGTGACGTCACACACGCCCCGTGACGTCACACAGAGGCCTGTGGGCCGGAAGCCGCCTGCGGACCCCGCCCCCAGCCCCTGCCTGCACGACGCCCGCCCCGCTGCCCAGCCAGTCTCTGCAGAACTGGCTCCCGCAAGGCTGAGGCCCCGAGGTCCTGGGGTGAGGCAGGCCTGGTGAAGCTGAGAGCCCCGGAGGACCCGGCTTGCCTGTGGACGGCACGCAGTTCAGTTCAGTTCAGTTCAGCCGCTCAGTCGTGTCCGGCTCTTTGCAACCCCAGGGACTGCAGCACGCCAGGCCTCTGCCCATCACCAACTCTCGGACTTGACTCAAACTCATGTCCGTTGAGTTGGTGATGCCACCCAACCATCTCATCCTCTGTCATCCTCTCCTCCCGCCCTCAATCTTTCCCAGCATCAGGGTCTTTTCCAATGAGGCAGCTCTTCGCATCAGGTGGCCAAAGTATTGGAGTTTCAGCTTCGGCATCAGTCCTTCCAATGAACACCCAGGACTGATCTCCTTTAGGATGGACTGGTTCGATCTCCTTGCAGTCCGAGGGCGGCAGGCAAGGAGAGGCGGGAGACCAAGCAGGAACCCGCGAGCAGGTCACTGCAGGGGCTTCAGCCTTCACACTACGCGAAGTCCGGCGACAGAACCGGGTCTGTGCAGGGCAGAGAGTGAGCAGTCTCTTCACAGCGTCGTCCTGGAGGACTGTCAGCAGGCAAGAGTCCGCCTGGGATAACACGACCACCAGAGAGAAAATTAAAGGAGGGCTGTGACCGAACGCGTTTCCTGTTGTTTTAATTACAGTTGGTGACTGGCAGCCCCACTGGACTTGGCGGGAGGGGAAACCAGGCTGGAGGGGCGGGCCCTGGGCTCCGAGTGGACAGGCAGGCCAGCACAGGTGCCCTCCCGCCGGGGCTGCGGTCCCCGTGAGGCTGCAGGGCAGACCTGGATGGAGCGGCCTCGGTGCATTGGGGACAGGGGGTTGTGGCGGGGGAGGGGGTGTCAGTGTCCAGGGGAGGAGGGGACGGAGGGGACAGAATCGCTCTGGCCCAGTGGGTGAGGACAGGAGGGAGCAGGAAGGCAGGCCGAGGGTGGACAGGGGCTCACGCTGGGAGCCATGGCCCGCGGGGAGCAGGTGGCAAGTCCAAGGAAGCTGAGGTCACTGGAGGTCAGGGCCGGTTGTGATGAGGAGTGGGGAGCCCCGGGGAGGGGAGCAGGCAGACGGTCGGCTAGGGCCGGCTCAGGGCCTCTGGGGCGGGGCCGCCTTGACCAGCGCCTGGCAGAGGACCAAGCTCGTGGGCCGCCCTCCCCCGAGAAGCGGCTTTGCTCCCCTCCCCCCGCCCCCCGCCCTGACCACATGACCCAGCCTCTCTCACCCCGGTTTCCTCACCTGAGAGCAAGGTGATGATACACACACAGGCACGTGACTGGCCCGTGCTGGGTGCCCAGTAACGAGCCCACGTCCAGGGGCTCAGAGGGTCAGGTGGGGTGTCCGGCAGCGCCTGGGGCCAGGCAGTCCCCTCTGTCCAGTGGCGCCTGGGGCCAGGCCGTCCCCTCTGTCCAGTGGCACCCGGGGCCGCGCTGCGGTCCACTGTGTGTAGCTCAGCCGTTGGACTGTATGATCCAGGGTCCACGGCATGCCATCAGCCCAGGGAGACCCCCAGCACCATGAGCAGACACCCCCATCCCTCAGAGGGATCTCTAATCCACCCCGAGCCTGAATTCGCCTCTGGACACATCCTATCCATGGAATCTCACAACACGTGGACTTGGGTCTGGTGCCTCCCACCTGCCGCGTTCAGGATGCATCCAGGGGGCAGGGGTGCCAGACTGCTCCCCTTCATGGCTCCAGGACAGATGTCCACGTGGCAGACATCTGCTGATCCGTCTGTCCACTGACGGACATCTGGGTGGTCCCACTTCTTCGGCCGCTATGTGTAATGCCGCTGTGGATGTCCACGTACAGGTTTCGTGTGCACGTGGGTTCCCCCTTCCCTCGGACACAACCTGGGTCAGGCAGTGGCTCCTGGCTCCTGGCTTCCGAGGAGCAACCAGACTGTCCCCAGGGTGGCCGCTCCAGTTCACATTGCCGCCAGGAGTGTCGGCAGCCAGGCCCCCTCCTGGGAACTGACTTCACACCACCGTGCAGCGGGTTCAAGTTCATCGACGGACCAGCTTCCTGGGGAACAGTGGGAAAGGCCATGTGCTGCCGTGTAGGGGCTGGGTCAGCACCGGGAAGCCGGGGAGGTGAGGGCACTTGGGACAGGCTCCCGGGGCAGGGCCCAAGCGTCGGCTCAGGTGGGTGGGGCAGGGCGCCCAGGTCACTGCAGTACTGGCAGGACCCAAAAAGAGCAGACGGACCACCTCCCCCTCTGCCCGGGGACCCCAGGGTCTATTGCCCCCTTTCCTGACCGGCCAGGCCCAGCCTGGCAGGGGACCATGGGGAGCTCACGGGGGCCTGGGCTGGCATCTCCTGTTATTGGCCGAGCCCTTTCCCTTGTGACGTGATTTTAGCCGAGGAGAAGACCCAGTCTGTCCTGGACCGAGAGGCCTTCCCGTGGGAACTGTGGGAGCCGCCCTGGCTTTTCTGAAACAGAAGATGCTCCTCCGGGACCCTCACATGACCCCCTCCCTGGTCAGTCCCAGGGAGGGGAGGGTGGTTAGCTGGGAACCTAGAGCCACACGCAGGTGGCCTCTGCAGGGGCGGGTGCCCCAGGCCAGCAGGGGGCGGGCCAGCGCTGGAGCTGAGTCCACATCCCCCCAGGACAGGTGGAACGGTATCTCCCAGAAAGTCCGTTCCAGTCCTGAACCCGAGCACCGTGCACGTGATCCTGACTGAAGCTGGGCCTTTGCAGACGCCATCAGTTTGAGGTCTAACCTAATGTGACGGGTGTCCCTCCAGGGAGAGGGAACAGAACCACGGGGTGGAGGGCGCAGGGCGGACAGATGGACACGCGCCAACAGAGGCTGAGCCCGAGACCCCGGAACGTGCCACCGTGGGGGCTGGAAGGGGACCCCCACCAGGGCCTCCAGAGGGACAGGCCGCCAACACGTGGGCTCCAGACTTCAGGCCTCAGGACCCTGAGATGAGGCTCTGCCATCAGAACCCACCCAGTTCACCGTCCCTGCTACGGCGGCCTCAGGAAACCAGTGCTCTGTCACCCGTTTTGCTGGACAGTAACCGGGGAAGGGAGCCTCACACCCTGGCAGGTTCTAACCCGGCTCTTACAGGAGAAAACAAACCCAAGGGCAGTGGGTTAGAGGTGGGGGGCCTGGGTCCCACCGTACACCCCACCCTCCCAGCCCAGGACAGCAGTCGGACACAGCTGACCACAGGGACCCCCAGCGTCCACTCCTGCAGGGGTGCCACGCTCGGGGCGTCCCACCTTCACCCCTCTTCCACTTCCATGCCGATCACGTTTGTTCACAAGTAAAATCGAGTTAAACACTGCATCTGAGAGAGAAATTAAAATGGGGTGACTGCAGCCCCGACGGAGCCCAGGGGACCGGCACCCAGCAGTGTGTGAGGAAAGGTGTCTCAGTCATCCCTGGAGGTCCAGTGGCCACGACCCCACGCTCCCAACCTGCAGGAGGAGGGGTTCGATCCCTGGTCGGGGAGCTCAGCACCTGCACACGGCACGGCGTGACCAGAGAGAAGAAACTGAAACCTGAGCCAGAAGCATGCTGGTACCACCTACACTCGAGGAAGCCTCCCAAAGGGCAGACGTCCCGCCATGTGCCTCCCTGAGGTCTGACCCAGAGATGACGGCAGGGGCACCCGGGGCGTCTGACGGGACACATCCTCCAACACGGAGCCCCGGGGCCACGTGCCTCCCTAGGGTCTGACCCAGAGATGACGGCAGGGGCACCCGGGGCGTCTGACGGGACACATCCTCCAACACGGAGCCCCGGGCCGTGACCCTGACCGCGCCATCAGCTCCGTCCTCTGGGGGAGGCAGCTCCGGGGGAGAGGGGCGGACGTCCTGGAAGCTCTGTCCCCCCAACCTGGCCTGGCTGCTCCCAAAACACCTGCCTCCTCCAGCAGGACGGAGTGGAGGGAAGGGCGAGGCCACCTGCTCCTGCCTCGTGACGCTGAATGGCCCACGGGATCCAGGGAGAGGCGTCTGCCCTCCACCAAACCCCACCCAGGGTCTGCCTGGACTTCCAGGGGTGACAGCCTTCGGCCCCCGGACGGCAGCCTTTCCTTCCCGCTTCCTTCCCCAGCCTTGTTCTCATTTTTCATGTGTGCTAAATCACTCCAGTCCTATCTGAGTCTGTGACCCCACAGACCATAGCCCGCCAGGCTCCTTGGGATTCTCCAGGCAAGAACACTGGAGTGGGTTGCCATGCCCTCCTCCAGGGGACCTTCCCGACCCGGGGATGGACCCTGCATCTTATGTCTCCTGCACTGGCAGGCGGGTTCTTTACCCCAAGTGCCACCTGGGAAGCCCTTCTCCCAGACTGTTTTCTAACTTATCTTCAAATATTCCCAAACTTGATTTTAAAGATAAATGTGATATTTTCCAGCATCAAGAGTTCACACCAGAATTTTAAAATTAAAAAAAAACTTCAAAAGAAATGATAAAGGTACACACATGCAGAAAAAAAATCAGACAATAAAGTGACATGTTTATAACATAAGAAAAATAGTCAGTTTAATAATTACAACCACAGAGCGTGAGTAGTCAAGACCAGGACACCGGGGTGCGGGGGGCGTGGGGGGGCGTTCGTGGAGGACCCCCACAGCTGTGAACGGGGGCCCGCGGGGAGTCCCCGAAAATGGTTCAACCTGCCGCAGAGCACACCTCCCGGCCGCGGATAGCTCCGGTACGTCCCCTCCCACCCGGGCCAGGTCGTCGCTCCGTCTCCTCGTCTGTGGAAGGCGGGGCAGAGGCGACTCCAGCAGGCAGACGGCCCCTTCCTGACGTCCCCTGGGAGCCCAAGCCCCTCGAAAGTCCCCCGGAGACACGGGGGCAGTCCACTGACACCAGGGCGGGTCTGTAGGAAGAACCGCTCAGATGCATCGTATCTGCTCCCGGGAAAGCTTAGTAAAAACCCTGGGACCAGGGAAGGACACGTCACGCAAGCATGTCGACGGCCACCCCTGGGGAGGAGGCGCGGTGAGAAGACAGGATGTGCGCCCCCTCGATGCTCAAGTCAACAGTTAAGGCAGGTTCTGGGGGCGCCCCGTCGGGGTGTGGGAGGCAAGACCGCCCGCCACAAAGTGCTGGAGAGTCAGGCGATGACTAGTTCCTGAGTTAGAATTTGCTCGAGACAGCAAACTTCAGTGCACGGATTGGATTGTTTCCCACTGCGAGGTCTCACGGGTCACCTATGGGCCTGCTGTGAAAACAGGCCTCACCAAACACTGCAAGGCCATCGTTTCCAGCCCCACCAGCAACGAAGAAAGCAAAACGCTGAGCACAGGAAGGCGGCAGTTCCCGTTACAAGGTCAGGCGTCCTCACGGTGGTCAAGGCCCGGATGCCCCCGGGAGCGCAGGAGGCTGAGGGTGCGGCCGCGGGCGGGACCGGGCATCCAGACCAGCTGCTCCAGCTCGGGGGCGTCCAGCCGATGCAGACAGAGGCGCAGGCCACAGTCGTGTCTGACACCATGCGGGCATTTCCAAGACGCCCCTGATTCAGGGGCTGGGGTTTGGGCTTTTAAAGACATGATGCTTGTCCTCTATGAGTTCATCTCCCTTTACAAACAACCTCTTCAGAACAGCGGGGCGCAGGAGCAGGTCCCGTGAGCCGGCTGGACCCCAGGCCCCCTCCTCCAGGCCCTGGCCATCTGGACTCAGTGTGGGGTGGGGTGGGGGGCCCGGTCGTAAGTCCTACTCCTTGGGGAGTCTCAGGCGTGTTCTATTGCTTGATTCGTGCAGACACTGCCTCCTCAGCGAGCACGGAAGGCCTGCCCGCGCCCGACAGGATGGCAGGTTTTGGAGCCAGAGCAGCCTCAGGCAGAGAGCCCACCTGCGCCCGGCAGAGCGTCCTCACAGGCTGCAGTGACGTGCAATAAATAACACACTTTATTTACAGGCTTCAGGGAGCTCACGCCTTCGGGGAGGACGGGACAGTGCACCTGGCCGAGTTCCCAGGTCAACCCCAGCCAGGCACCCTCCGCCACGCACGTGCTCACACAAGGCGGGCGTGCGCACACCCGTCATGGGGCCCTCTGGCAGCAGACGCGGCTCCCGGGTTCAGCCCGAGTGCTGCACGTGGCCTGCGACCCCGCTCGACCAGGAGACTGGGGGAGCGGGGGAGATGGGTCCCTGCAGGTCTAAGCAGGTGAGCCGCAGGCAGACACCGTGGGAGGTGTTTCTGGAGCGCGGCGGCAGAGCAGGCACCCCCAGAAACAGCTGTGGGTCTGCAGCCTCCGGTCCCCACGAGCAGTGAGCACACGCCCCAGGGCGCGGGAGCAGGGAGGTGAGCGAGAGGGGGACTGCAGCCCAGCAGTCAGCCCAGACAGAAACCCCGCCGTGTGCGTCCAGAACAGGGATTTACAGGGAACACACACGTAACACTGACACGTGCTCACTCGGAGCCCATGAGTCCAGATGCCGTCACCGCACTTACTGCGGAACGAGGTACTGGGTGTGGGGGGACGCGGTCTGGGCTCGGCCTGGAGCTCACGGCCGCCCGGCTGCAGTCTCCACGCACAGCCCCGCCTGCAGCCTGAGCGCCAGGGGCGGGGGTCGTGGGGCGTGGGGCTCCGGCTCAGGCTCAGTCTCGGAAGCGGTCTTGACGGAGCACCAGGACGCCCCTCAGAGGTTTGTCTCATCCCAGGCAGGGTCATTCATGTTCTTGAGCACCTTCCTCACCAGCTTCTCCAGGTCTTTGCGGGCTCTCTGCTCCTCCTCCAGGGACTTCTTCATCTTCTTGTTGTCCTGCGGGAGAGGCAGACCGCAGGGGGTTAACAGCCATTGGCACCAAAGGGGCCCCCTCCCCGAGGAGACGGGGCTGCACTGAAGGGGTCCGCCCTGCATGGCGGCCAGGGGCGCGGCTGACGGGACCCCCGAGGGTCTCAGACGCAGGGTTGCTCCTGGCGCCAGGACAACCCACAGACAGAGCAGGCCCGGCACTCCACTTACGACTATGAACCAGAGAATCTACAAAACACAGCGTGAGAGTGGCCGAAAGGAATGGGCCAGGGCTCACATCCCTCCTGCTCTCCCGCACCTGCGACAGTCTTCACAGCGCTAAGAAGGGGCACAGAGACGGGGAGTCAGGGGCCCCCTACCGCAGTCAATGCCAGCATGGCAGTGAGTCAGGGGCCCCGTCACCCCCCACCGCGGTCCATGTCAGCGCGGCCCCTGGACAGGCAGAGCGGCAGGCGGCTGGCTGGGGGCAGCTGTGGGTGCGTGGCTGGTGCCCTGCCGTCCGTCCAGCCCAGGCCAGCCGCGAGCTGCGTCTCACACACGGAAGCCACTGACACAAACGATGCAGCTCATACAAGTCTGCTCGGCGAGGCAGCCCAGTCTAACTGGCTTTTTGATGGGTCTTCTCAAGAACCAGGACCACATGCTATACCGGAGTGACAGAGAACAGTCCCTGTTGGCACCTAACGAGACATCTGACCAGAAGCAACTTCAGGTGTTTTCACAATTGTTCCGGGAGAATCTGAGATGTCTGATGACACCCAGACAGGGCAGTGGAGAGTACGCCTGGCAAGTCGCCTTGGACGCACTTCCTGCCTCTCACATTCAGACCCACTGCCGACCTGCTGCGGGTCCGGACCCCGAGGGGCGGCTCCTGTTCTGGCCTATGGTGCTCGCGGACACCGGCTTCAGGTCTGACACCGTGGTTTCCTCATCGGCCCCATTCAAACGATTACAGGCAGATGACAACTCACCTGTCGTAACTCCTGAACTTCATCTTTTAGAGCGTACACGGTGTCGACGAGACTCCTAGACAGAGAGGGGGGCACCCTGAACAAGGATCGCGAGCACCCTACTTCACCCCACGCCCGCTGCCCGCCCTGCCCGCGCCCACCCGCCCCGCGCACCCAGCTCCGGGAAGGCCCGATTCCACGCACGGGGTGTGGACCTCAGCCAGGAAGCCCTCCCCGCCACAGACACTTAAAAACACTGAAACACAGCTTACTTTTCTTCTATCACTGTCTGACCATTACTTTTAGTCTCTTCAACTATAATTTTCTCTTCTTCTGGAAGCAAAACTTGCGGAGCAGATTCTTTGCGTGAACCTGTCATCATTAAAAGAAAAAAAAGAAACCCACAGGTAAATACCACGGCAGAACTAAAAGAACTTGACTATACAACACTACTTAATTATTAATATTAAATTCCAGGTGTTAATTCCAGTATGTTAAGAAATACATCCTCTAGATAAAATGGGGATGGGTAACCTTTACCAACTTCCTCTCCCTCTGCAGACTGTAGCCAAGTCTTCTTCAAGCCCATAGCATGACAGGGGAAAGGAAATGTTAGCCTTTTTTTTTGCAATTTATTGAGCTTCAGTTTATGAATCTGGATTATTGATCTTTTAAAAATTTTCAACACGTAGTAAGTTGAAGATTCTGACCATGTATTTTGGGAGGAAATAATCAAACTTCTGGGGGATACTCAAATCAACCAAATTTTGTGCCATTTTATTCCAGGAATCTTAGAACAGAACCATCAGATCATGCAGAAGATATATTCCAATATTTATCATGTCAGTCAACTGGTCCTTAAAACATTTAACTCCAGAGCAACAGCTTAAAGTGTTACAGCACATGGTTAAGAAAAAGTTTATTACTGATCCTCTTATGAAAATAGTATTTACATTCCCTGGAATATAAACATTTTTCCAAAAGGAGGAACACTGTTTACAATATTAGAGGAATATTTATGTCATTTAACCAAGACCCAGCACAAAAGCTTACCCAGGACAGTGGCCAGAGAAACCGTTACTGCAGAACAGGTCTTCAGAAATTAACAAGAATCAAATCTCATTTAAGGGTGCAAGGAAGAAAATCACCTTTTAAAGAGTTACGCAGCACTAACGTGTATCATTCCTAGTTTTGAAAAATGACATCAGATGTACATCTGAGGAGGGACGTGACCCGCCGCAGAGCCCCTGCTAGTGGTTACTGCGATAGACGCAGCTTTTTCTCCAATACAATCCACACACTCTAACCACGGAGATGGCACTTCGGCTCGCCCGACCTCGTCTTCTCGGCTTCACCCTCGGTTCACCTTCCCAAAGATCCGTCACACTGGACGAGGGCCCTGGGCATCCTCATGTGGCGGGAGCGTTTGGCACGACACACGCTCTCAGGACGGGACTTAGCGGTTCCACCAGCATCTCACTGCAGCTCAGCCTCCTCTGAGCAGAGCAGGGCTTGTGGTGGCTGTCGACGCTGCTGACATGGGGCTCCCATGATGCTCCTGACGTGGGGACCGAGCACCCCCTTTACTCCCAGGGCGGCTGGCGACAGGGAGGAGGGTCTGGTTCACCGGGCCGAGTCCCCCTGCTGGCCGCCGTGTGGGCGTCTGTGAAGCCCCGCTCCAGCCCCGTCCTGCAGGTGGGAAGGCCGTCTACACCCCAGTGCTGGGCCTGAGAGGGAGGAGGCCGCCCGGCCCAGAGAGGGACAGCACCACGTTACAGCGCCAGCGTCTGGACAGACGAGTTTCCTCTACCAGCCAAGGCACCACGTCGGTGTGTCCTGGGACGTAGGTGTTATAACCACGGGGACTGCTCGGAGCCCTGCCACGGCCGGGAGAAGCTGCCGTGCCAGAGCACGTCTGTACGTGAACTTGTCAGCTGCTGTTTCACGGACGACCTTCCACCAGTGACCTGGTGCTCACACCGAGATGCGGGTCCTGGGGTGACAGCTCCAAGGCTGCAGGGTGCAGGGGGCAGGCAGCGCCCAGCTCGCACCCCACCCGGCACGGTGACCGACCTGCAGGCTTTTCAGACAGAAGGCGATGTCCTCCAAGCCCTGGGCCCGGGGAGGGACACGTCCTGAAAGGCTCTGTCCTGCCGACGGTGATGACCGGCTCCAGGGGCTGTGTGCGGGGCTGTGGCCATGCTGTCTTCCAGGCCTTTCTCAGCACACGCTTCTGGGAGGTCTGGGCCACGTGGGGAAGCACCGCTTAGGGAGGAAACGCGCACGGGCAACACGACTGGGAGGCACAGGGCCACCGGGTTAAGAATCTGGAGGTCCAGGAAGCGCCCGGACTTCCGACACCAACACTAGCGTTGGCCATGCTCCTACTGGGAGGAGGGAGTGCGTGCTATTTTCCCTGAAAACAGACAAGCATTCCTAAGGCCTCCGCTGTGCGGACCACACGTCAGGGGGTGAAGGGCTCTCCTTCCCTGTAAAGAGAAGCATGCGGGTGACTCGGGGCCCCGGCGCCCCCAGGGTCCCCACTGTTACCTGCTCTGCCCTGGAAGCTAAGCTGGGTGCAAGGCAGGCCAAGGGCCACCGGGATGGGCAGGTCATGGGTGGCATGTAACACGACGTTTCTTCACCCCAACTAATGAGCTAATGAGACCACAGGCTAAACATGTTTTTTCATGAAAGTGCTTTAGGAAGATTAAATTCTATGTTTATTTCTCCTCAATTATTTTTGCATCTTCTAGCTTCCTAGGCAACCTATTTACATTGCGCTTACAGCAATGAATTCTTCAAATAATACACAGGACAGAATCGCGGGGGGCGGGGGCAGTGGTGTCCACTCTGGGAGCAGGGGTGTGCAGGGACTGGGGCTGCGGGTCTTGGTAAACTCAGGCCTGACACCAAAACTCGGAGCCTCAAGTCCATCTGCCGTAAAAAGAGAACAAGACCAACCGCCTCTGCAGACCTGTTCTGGGTGTTAACTCAGAGGTCACTTTGATTAGTATCTTCTGCCAATGAATTCGTAACTATACACCCCACAATGTGAGGTGACTGTGAAACCTGATCCAAGAGCTGCATGTGCAAGGACACCGTTCTCATCTCAGCAAATACACTGAAAGCGCGCGAGAGAAGGCTACATGACGGACAGGAAGTGCCAACTGCTGGATTCCTGAAACATGCCGACATGAAAAATGCCACTGAGGATGTGCTGGTGAGCCAGGAGGCTTATCAGTGAAAATTATTCATTGGCCTGCACAGAACTCCACAGGCTGCCTAGCTTCAGCGTACTTTTGTGAAACAACTGAAAAAAAACTGCAAGTCTTTCAGCAAAACAACAAAGGAATATTCTCCTGCCAGTATTATAAGTAAGTCGACTATTTCTATAAGAACAAAGTTCTAGAAAGTAGGTAGATTTAACAAGCTCTCTCCGAGATCAGTTTAGTACTTTTAAAGGCATCACAGCAAATCTTCTCTGAATTAGTTAAGCTGGAAAAAGAATTCAATAGCAGAACCTCCGAAGACCGCTGTCACTTTGAAATCCTCTACTGAGAGGGGCCAAGACAGGTGTGAGTGTTCACAAGGCACCAGCACACACAGGATCTGTGTCTCCCCAACTCTGTGCTCAACACGAAGCTCTGTGTTTCCAGGAGACCACTGGGATTCTGCAGCACGTCATTTTGGAAAACGCTGAGAGCTGTAGCCACTTCCTGGAGGGTCACAGTGCCTAAGATTTCCAGCAAAAATACCCATTTAACCTGAATTCAGCACCTAAATCTGAGTGCTGAACACCTTCTCCATCATCAGGAGGAACATTTTGCAGCGTTCTGGCAAATGATCTGAGGAGTGCGAACCAGCACACGACCCGCACGTGTCTGTGAACACGCACACAAGCACCGCGCGGCTGACGTGCGCGTGTCTGTGAACATGCACACAAGCACCGCGCGGCTGACCCGCACGTGTCTGTGAACACGCACACAAGCACCGCGCGGCTGACCCGCGCGTGTCTGTGAACACGCACACAAGCACCGCGTGGCACGTGTCTGTGAACACGCACACAAGCACCGCGCGGCTGTTGTCTGTCCTCAGGGCGAACCCAGCCCACGCCCGCTGACAAGCAGTGCGGCCAGCAGGGGTCGCTCTGCGCCCTCCGCTGGGGATGGAGCAGGCGCTGGGGACCCCTGGAGCTCAGTGTGGGAACACAGATAGGTGCAGCGCCCCCACCTCGTGGACAGAGGGCTTGCCCGGACAGCAAGGAGACGGCCTCAACCCAGGGCGCGGTCAAGGCTGGCAGGCCAGCCCCTGGGGGCACCCCCGATGGCCTGCAGCTCCCAACCCAGGGGATGCGCGGTGCGTGTGGGTCCGGGATGAGGGTTGGCCTGCCTGGAGACCCTGAAGACCCTATGTGTAGGGTCTTTCAGAAGGGAACGTCCGCTTCTCCGGCCAGCGGTGGAGTACCTTGACAGCACAATTCAGGTGACCTTAACTCACAGAAACTGAAGTAACTTTCAGCATGAAACAAAATGTTAACATTTTAAAAAATATACTTAGGAAGATCTCTCCAGTAGGCCACTCTGTTATTTCTGGCTGTGATAGGATTTCAATCATTTTTCTTAGGAAAAAACAAAACAAAAACACAGGCCCCTCTTCAGAGAAGGATGTACACCTGGTCATCATCTGCATCCTGCCCTGGTCCCCTACCTCCACAGGCACTTCTTTTCCTCCCATTCTGCTTTTTCGAGTCAGCTCGACATGCACCCTACAAATAAAAACTAAAACCTGAGACCTTAGTCACCAGAAAATAAACACTGAATGGTGGGCTTTTTTCCATTTATGCCCACCCCTGACTCCACCAAAAGAGGAAAGAGAGAGCTCTTCTTTCTGAAGACAAACCTCCCAGTGAGCGAAAACTTCTTTAAAAAAAGAATTAGAGGGAAACAGATGCAATAAACATGTGCAGAGTCGTCTTGCATCATCTAGAACATATTTAACCTAAGACAGTGCGGGCTTTGCCACTGAGGCAGGCACAGGGCGCCCCACTGCCCCGCCATCCTGCGGAAGACGCTAGCTCCCAACAGCCACATCACAGTCAACTGCAGACTCTGCTCCCCCGACCCCAGCCCCCACCAGGTGACAGATAGTAAAAGCCAGAGGCTAGCAAATGCAAAATTTATTTCAACTGTACATAACAGATGTCTTTTTTTGAATATAAAACAAACACTTCATTGCCATATGCAGCCACAAACAGGAATATGCATACTGTACAGTACAATGCAACATCCAGGTACACAGCCGACTGAGTCCAGAACGGCAGGCGCCCACGGAAAATGGCTTTCCCGTTCACAGATTAAAAGCACAATACG